TTGAGGTTTTGCCTTGCAATTGAGAATGCAAAAAAAAAATAATAAAGAGGAAAAAAGGCGAGTCCTTACTTGCTATACTGAAACAAAATTGTGGGTGCAAGTAAACGAATATATTATTATTTTTAACTTCATTTTTAAATCTATTGATTTATTTTGCTTTAGCTTAAAAATCATTACAAATATTTACTTTGCCAAGACAAACAGATTATTCAAATATAAATATCTTCGAATTCATTTTTTAATGGCCTTTCTCAATTTTTTCACAACTCAAATTCCATCCTGCCAATAGAAAACCCCACAAATAAATGCTTTTGGTTACTAAGATCTTAAAAATACCTACAATTTTAGTAAGGACTATTTGTTGCTTTTAAAACTTTTGTTCCAGTGCATTTGGTTAACCCTAGCCTGCATCTTTTTAGAGTTTGCAGTTGACAACAGAGCAGGAAAGTCAGTCAGAGCCTCTGCTTTTGTCTTGCCTCTTTCCCAGTTCATTGACCGCATTATGCGTTACTGCGAAAAAGTGCGTAGATCCCAATTGCAGTAAACTCACCTTCCAGTGTCCCTTATTGAGATTCCGGATGCTTTTACTTTATTTGCGTTCGGCGAAAGTTGATTTCCTTGATGCCGCCTCGCGAAGCTTTTTGAAGTTACCAGTTATCCTTTTATAGCAACTGCAACTGCTGATGAGGCCAAGACTTTTGCCCTTTGTTTTTAATCGGTAAAGTGCAGGGATTCCTCGCAAAAGGCAAACATCTTTGGTATTTGCATCTGCAGGTTTTGTGGTTGAACTTTTGCGGTTACTTGGGGGTTTTCTATTCGAAAGATGGGTATTGCAGAACAAGTTTGAGCAAAGGATTATTTATTTCGTTTGGTGTAGGACGGAATTCAAATTTAAGATGTTTTTTTTTTTCATTTTGTAAAATATTTCTTTAAGAAGTGATAATATTTCGAACTATGCCCTTTTATGTTAGCTTTAGTTTTAAAAACTATTCTACATTATGTTAATATATTAAGTGAATCTCTTTCTTTTATCCATTTTTTGATTTATATATACATTTTTTGTCAGAATCAGCTCTTTAACTTTAATTTCCTGCATTTTCCGCCTCTTTTAACTCATTCACATTCCGGCAGCAGGACCTTCTTTTTTGTTTTTATCAACAGCATTTATTTACCACTTGATATGCATTCTTAATTACAAAAGTCGGTACTCTCTCTATTTTTTACTGAAACCCTTTCCCCATTTTTGCCTTCGTTTGATGTATATCTGCTTGACACTTGAGGGTGGACAGAGACACATTTCTAAATTAATTTGCATAAATTGTGGAGGCCTTAGACTTGCCAGATTTTTATTTGTCGGGGGCTAGGTTAACTCTCTTGTCAATTGTGCCGTCGGAGTTTTTTTCTAAAAGAAAGGGAGAAAGGTTTCGTTGAACGAAGACACTTTTGTATTAATTGAAGCGTAAAAAGAAAGAAAATTCAACCGACTCGAGATGGGGTTAGAATACATTTTTTTTGTCCTCTACTGCCTCCTCTACTTTGTCCTGTACCTCTCATTTTAATCCTTGTGCCTGCTTCAGGGAGTCAATAACCTTTTAATGAGATTTCCAACTGTCAGGTTGGATGAGGAGTTCCCTCTATATACGTTTTTGTTTTGGTGTGAGAGAGGTGTGTCCCCGTTAGATTATTGAGGTATTACAATGTTGAATGTATCTGGAAAAGCCCTTTCTTCCCCTCAGCCTCTGTTTGCTCAGCCGCTTACTGAAATTAACGTTTAGTTGAGGCTTACATAAATTTGCATATCAATTTTATGCGCCTGCTAAAGATGCCGGATTGGATTAGTGTCGGAGACCCATCCATCATTACTGACCCAGAATTATCCAAACATTTAGCAGGTAAACCCTAGGAAAAAGATCGATTGGTAGCGATACTGAGAAGTGTTCAAGCACTTGGAAATATTTCGTTATTCTTTAAACATGAATGTGTTAAGCCATTTAACTTCAAATAAACGTGTACACTTCCTCTAAATATTTTACGAAAAACGGAAAGGTCTGATATCCAAAATTTTGAATGTAAAATGGGAAAACCTCCTTACCAATAACAGTTATTAAATTGATTGTCACCTGTCGTTGGTTGTAGGCATAGAAGTGGCCTGCCTAATGACGCGTAACTCCTCCGCCTCGTAATTCTGTCAGTTGCAACCAGATATTACCAATATATCACACGGTGCCATTGACTTTTTCGCCATCATCCACCGCATAATCATGGGGGGTCCGTCTTCCTGTTCAATGGCTGTAATTGTCACTTTTGATTATGTCAAGATGACTTTATAATTACCACACACACTGCCGTGCACGTGTGACAATTTAAGTGGCGGTTGCAAGCACACGTAGGCGGCCAAGTAATTTGCAAACCCTTGGCCAAAGGCGAAAATTACTGTAATTTTGAGTTGCTGCCAGATCCGGACATGTATTTTCTATTTTCCAGCGGAAGTGCGAAGCACATTTGTGTGCGGTGGCGAGTTGCTGGGAAAAAAGGAGTTGTTTGCCAATTTTAGTAAGAAATTTTTATGGAAATCATTAATAAAAATATTTAAAATTTCCGTCCTAATGACAAATCTTATGAGTTTTCAACCAATTTATTTTTAGTCTTTCAGTAAACGTTTACTTAAGTCTACTGTGTATTTTATAAGTAATATAAGATGATAAAAGAATAATATAATATTGCATTTGTAAAGTAGAATGAAGGATAACAGTTCAAGGTAAGTCTTGTAGTGATTTTTTTCTATTTTTAATATATAAATAAATAAACATGAAATATTTAAATATAACTATCAATTACCCTTTCAGTATTGTAATATTTTATTATATCAAGGATACTGTTTATAGGTATTTAAAATTATTAATAAATATACCTCTCTCCAACGACCAGTAACTGATCTCAATCCATTGCTCATAATTATATCTATGATCTCAACTGCCCACAGCAGGGGTTATCTCAATAATCGTTTGCGCTTCTACACTTCTCTAAACTGACAACGAAACCATAAAAACTCTGTCAACATTAGGGCCTACAAATACTTGACCCCTCGTGGATCAAAATCCATTTAGGGCTGGTATAGCACGAAAACAGGGAAACAGAAACTATCCAACTATCACCCTTTTTCGATTGACACTTGTGATAATCCGATCTAACCATCGATTGAGAGACATTTTAAAAACTCGTTACAAAGGGTTGTCAAACGAAAATATCATTTTACAATTGTTTGACCAACACTAAGCGCGAACAGCAACAAAACGGGGAAAACCAATAAAAAATCATAATTAAAACTCCAATATGTTTGACGGTATCCAGCTGCGAAAGGACATACACACACGACCCACCCCAACCACCAAACTGACAAAACAATTTCAATTTTGGTTTCCAACAAAAAAAAAATCGAATTCTCCTTTTTTTTACAATTTGAAAAATGATACGAAAATGTCATTATGTTATCGATGAAGTGAGGGAGGGAAACCAGGCGGCTCTGACATTTATTTACCGTGTTGAACAATTGTTGTCCAGGGCTGAATTTGGCTGAAAGGATGTGCCACGTTAATTGTGCCATTTTGTGGACAGTCACAGCGGGGAGATAGGAAAACTCCATGCCAGGACTACAGTAGCCGTCCATCGATCATATTTCACGTCCTTTCCTATGACTGCCTTTGATTGCCAGCTGGGTAACATCCTTTATTTTTTGTTTTTTATCTGTTTTTGCGTGGGTTGAAGTCGTTCGTCGAGGAAGGGGTTATTTTAGACTATTTTTTTCTCTTGGATGGGGGCATTCCACATATTGAGGGTGTTTTTTTGCACTCCAATCCCGATGATTATGATGTATGACTGTCTGGACTCGGTCACTTTCTCCTCTTTAGTTTCGCTTCACATAATATTTCTATTTTTTGTGACTTTTCCCAAATGGCGATATTTGCAGATATTTTTCTTCATGTCATTAGATATCATCAATCAAATGGGAACATTTTTTGTATGCCATTTGACAACACATCATCAGTTTCTATTGTTCAATAATTTTATGAATATTCATAGTTTTTTAGCCGTGTCCTGTCCAAGCGTTTTTTCCTCCATTGTATTTGCTTACCCGTGATATGTTATTTATGATTTTTTCCATTCCTGCACTTTAATTTTATCAGTGATGAGTCATGATTTTTTGGCAACATGTATACATATCTACAGGGTACAGTAGGCGTTAAGGTTAAGGAGCAAAAAAAAAAACAACAATATAATTGAAAAAATGTTCTATTGTTGGTTTTAAATATAGGCTGAAACTATTTCATATTTTTATAGTACAATACTGAAAAACAAAAATTGCCCTGAAACATTGTTTTTATTTAATATAAATAGAAAGATCATATAGATTTAACAAAAACATAATAATGGGATAACTTTTCATTGCAATTGCATACATTCCGGATTATATTTCTTTATACCATTTGGAACGATTTTGAATTGCAGTGTTTCTTTGCGATTCTGCGCAGCCCCTGAAACGCCAGGCCATTGAGAAACTGGTCCAAGAGCTTCCTCGTTCCGTTGTCCAGTGCCACCGTACTGGGCATAGCCGCTGCTTCGATCAGTAATCCGCTCCTGCTGCAGATGGCTCCGGTTCCCGGGATCGGAGTACGGGCTGAAGTTGGACCTTCAGTGCTCTGAGATCGGAACTGAGCTAACCGTTCAAATATTCCACTTACTAATAAGATATTTGCAAAGCTTAAAATATAAATAAAATAGTTCGTCCAAAACAACTTGAGAGTGAACTTGAGCTTTGAAATAGAAAAGTATGTTTTTGCATATATATTTATATTATGAGCGCAATTTAATCTAGTCCAGTTTTCGGCTTTACTTGTTCTCTGATAAGGCATGCTTTGATTTCGGGCTCTCCGAAAGTTAGCAAATAAATCTAGAATCAGTTCTTTTAAAGCGTTTGTTCTTACTGGTTGCTTACTTTTAATATGTTCAAGTCATCGATTTATTTATTCTTGGCCTTCTTTTTGTACAATTCGTATGGATCCTTGGCAGAAAGTCAGGACAATGGGCGATACGTATGCCTATTGAACGACCCAACAAATCAATGTGGAGACTTCTGTCTTGAGACACTGAAGCCAGTGCTCGATCACATTGCTTCTCACCAGAAGGAGTGGAGCACTTCCAATCCTCAAAAACATAATGAAACACAGGAAAGATTTGTCAGAATCAAAGACAAACTTGACAAGTTGCTCGACCAGGAGGAAGCTTCATCGACGAATGCAAATATACTTGAGTTACAGACAAAACTGGAACGGATTGAAAACCTACTGGCAGGCCTGCAGGAAAATGTGTCTAAGCGTGTCCACAACGCTAGTATATCTCCTTTGTTCACTCGGATCGGATCGACATTAATTTACATCGAAAAAGAAATTAAAAAGTCCTGGGACGGTGCTGAAGAGACCTGCCGCGAGATGGGAGGTCACCTGGCAACTATTCTGAGCGAATCGGACTTTACCGCCATCAAAGAAGAACTATCGGACTATGCCAGCTACTGGCTGGGCATCACAGACGTGGCCAAGGAGGGGGAGTTTGTGTCCGTGGCCACTGGCAAACCAGCACCTTTTTTCAAGTGGAGAGCAAACCACCCAAACAATTTATCAGGAAAAGATAACTGTGTGGATATTTACAAGGGCGAAATGTACGATCTCAACTGTAGCAAAATTACAAATTTTATCTGTGAGGCTGTTGGATAAGTGAAATAAGTGAAGATTGTTATTTATACAAAGGTTTATTCAACTATATATAAGGCAATTGCTACACAAAATGTTAATAAAAGTTTTTCAAAAAGTGTGTGCTTTTGTTTTTTGAGGCATGTGAAAAAATAAATAAAAAATGGTAACTGGGCTTATTACTAATAAACAAGTGTCCATATTATACAATATTAATCAATTGCAAATTATTATGTTGTCTGTCTTGGCTAACTGAATTGAGTTACTCCTGGTCATAGCTACTGTTCCAGTGGCGGTGGTTCAGGATTTTTTTTAATTTTTTAAAAATATATATAATATTTGTATGTATATTTTGACCGCCATTTAATCTTTTATTAAAGCTTAAAATATGATTCAAGATTAAAGTTCGTTCAAAACAACTTGAGAGTGGCTCAACAGAGACCCAAAACAAGTGCTTAAAACCCACTGATTAGGGTTTATTTTTAACTTTAAAAAAATGTATATATTATTTGCATATAATATAATTTGCAAATTTAATCTTTTCCAGGGGTTTTACTTGTTCTCGGATAAGGCAATACATAACATCAGGGCACTTGTCCGATTTAATTCAGGGCTCTTCGAAAGTTAGCAAATGAATGGGGAGCAGTTTCTTTAAAACGTTTGCTCTTACTGGTTGCGTACTCTTAAAATGTTCAAGTCATCGATTTATTTTTTCTTGGCCTTCTTTTCAAACATTTTATATGGATCCTTGGCAGAAAGCCATGTCAATGGGCGATCAGTATGCCTGTTGAGTGACCCGCCAAATCAATGTGGAGACTTTTGCCTTGGGGCACTGAAGCCAATGCTCGATCACATTGCTTTTCAACAGAATGAGTGGAGCACCTGCAGTCCCCAAAAACATAATGAAACACAGGAAAGATTTGTCAGAATCAAAGACAAACTTGACAAGTTGCTGGACCAGGAGGAAGCTTCATCGACGAATGCAAATATTCTTGACTTACGCACAAAACTGGATCGGATTGAAAGCTATTGGATAAGTGAAATAAGTGAAGTTGGTTATTTAAACAAAAGGCTTATTTAACTATATAAAACGCACTTGCTACATATTATGTAAACATAGTTTTTAAAAAAGTTACATGAATTTTGTGTTTTGAGACATCTGAAAAACTAAATAAACAAGAAAGGAAGCAAACTTCCCAAAGCCGAAGTTTATATACCCTTGCAGTTGTTACATATTTAATTTAATTAAAACGCTAATTCCATAATATTTTAATATTACCAAATTACCGAAAGAACCAAAAAACAAGAAAGGAAAGCTAACTTCGGGCGGAGCCGAAGTTGATATACCCTTGCAGAATACTCTGTAAATTATATTCTCCAAAATGATTCGTATGATGCGTTCTTAATACTCATAAAAAATCCCAACTTCCTAACTTTAAAAACACCAAAGTTATGGCTTTTCCAATCGTTCAGTTATATGGCGGCTATAGGATATAGTCGTCCGGTCCTTATGAAATTTGGTAAGTCGGATTAATTGGCCAAATATAAAACCCATAGAAAATCCCACTTTACAAACACCAAAGTTATGGCATTTCCGAACAATCAGTTATATGGTAGCTATAGGATATAGTCGGCCGATCCCGGCCGTTCCGACTTATATACTGCGTGCAAAGAAAAGAAGGGTGTGTGCAAAGTTTCAATTCGATAGCTTTAAAACTGAGAGACTAGTTTGCGTAGAAACAGACAGACGGACAGACGGACATGGCTATATCAACTCAGGAGGTGATCCTGATCAAGAATATATATTCTTTATAGGGTCGGAGATGTCTCCTTCACTGCGTTGCACACTTTTGACCAAAATTATAATACGCTCTGCAAGGGTATAAAAACAATAAAAATGCAAGGCACAATCCGAGGCTTTGAGTGGCCATGAAAGAGTAAGGATCGAAGGAAAGGATAATGTCAATCACCAGAACTCTTTAACATAGATTAAAGTATGGTTTTTAAATTTGTTGCCTTTTTTTCAGGGTGCATAACATTTGAATAATATTGTGTAAAAATGTTAGATTGATTCGAGTAAAGCTTCCGAAGTTATGGGCAGTATAACGTAGGTAAGTAGCTCGTTTTGTATTCGATTTTTGGGTGTCCAAAACTTTAAAAAGCTCTCCTGAAAAGTTGCCATTCCAAAGTCGGTGAACACGATCCTGGACGAATCGTTTTGAAAATTTTCACTCTATTTCTGTACCTAAATCCCCAGGTATTGACGTCGAGTGTAGATCTCGTCAGCTGACCAGTGCCAACATGCTGGGCATCGCCGCTGCCCAATGTTAGTTGTATTTACAAATGTGCGCAATTAAATCTTTTATTAAAGCTCCAAATATGATTCGAGATCAAAGTTCGTTCAAAACAATTTGAGTGTGGCTCAACAGAGACTCAAAACAAGTGCTTTACATCCACTGATTAGGATTTGTTCTCTGATAAGGCACAACATCGGCGCAGTCAACAAACAAATCGAAATTCAGTTTTTTCAAAGCGTTTGCCCTTACCGGTTGCTTATTTTATAATGTTCAAGTCAACAATTTATTTTTTCTTGGCGTTCTTTTCATATAATCTGTATGGATCCATGGCAGAAAGCCATGACAATGGGCGATCCGTATGCCTATTGCACGACGCGCCAAATCAATGTGGAGACTTTTGTCTTGGGGCACTGAAGCCAATGCTCGATCACATTGCTTTTCACCAGAAGGAGTGGAGCACTTGCAATCCCCAAAAACATAATGAAACACAGGAAAGACTTGTCAGAATCGAAGCCAAACTTGACAAGTTACTGGACCAGAAGGAAGCTTCATCGACGAATGCAAATATTCTTGAGTTACAGACAAAACTGGATCGGATTGAAAACCTACTCGCAGGCCTGCATAAAAATGTATCTAAAAGTGTCTCCAACGCTGTTATATCTCCTTTGTTCATGCGGATCGGGTCTAGATTAATTTACGTCGAAAACGGAATTAAAAAGTCCTGGGACGGTGCTGAAGAGACCTGCCGCGAGATGGGAGGACATCTGGCAACTATTCAGAACGAATCTGACTTAATCGCCATCAGAGAAGAACTAAAGATCAATGGCGTCTACTGGCTGGGCATCACAGACGTGGCCAAGGAGGGAGAGTTTGTGTCCGTGGCCACTGGCCAACCAGCACCCTTCTTGAAGTGGGAATCAGATCAGCCAAACAATTTATTAGGCAAAGATAATTGTGTGGATATTTACCGCGGCGAAATGTACGATAGCGAATGTAGCAAAAGTCAACATTTTATCTGTGAGGCTGTTGGATAAGTGAAATAATTGAATTTGGTTATTTGTACAAAGGCTTTGCTACGCCTAATGTAAAAATAGTTTTTAAAAAAGTTAGATAAGCATTTTGTTTTGTTAACTGCATTTCTTACTAATAAACAAGTGCTCATATTATATTATTGTCTTCTTGGCTAACTGAGTTGGGGTTTAACCTGAGAAAAGTGAATTTGAAGACGGGTTCTAATAATATTCCAGGTCGGACAGCACAGCAGCAGGCCTTATCTCGAGGTGAACTAGGCTGACATAATCCACCTGAAGAAGGACGAGCTGGTACGCAGCAAAAGAAGAACCGGGTGGAGGAGACTATACACCATGTTCCATGGACTGATGACGACATCGATCGTACCGGATCAGAAGAATCGCGATCCAGACTATTTGGCTGATATTATAATCCAGATAGCCTTGTCTGTTCATGCATGGATACGTGAGGTGGAGTTCGCAGCTGAATCACACGGCTTAAACGAGTCACATCGTTGGCTATTGGGTAATCGAATGCTGCAGTTCCTGTATGATTTAAGGAATTAACACAGCGCTTTCAAAAAGTCTTTGGGTTCCCAATGTAGAACCATCTAGTTGCACAGCAAAGTCGCTCAATTGTTAAAGGGTAATCACTGCTTCAATATTTTATTGCTATGCGCAAGTTTTCTGAACAAGGAGCTCTCGAAGATACAGATACCGGATGCGCAGCTTCGTTGTATTACTGTGTTTCTCTTGATGATCTGTGTTAGAAAATAATGCTTTACAGACAGAACAGACGAGCGATCCAGAAGTGCGTTGCTTGCGGGGGAAGTTGAAGAAAGGCGTGTCAGTACGGTTTGAGTGAATAGATGGAATAGTGTTTAGACCAAATGATAATGAGGAATTGTGTAGGCAAGACGAATTGATAAGGAAAACTCTCGAAAAGAGAGGTCATTTGGCAAGAGATAAATGCGTTTGTGAGTTGAATAAAAACAAGAGAGAACGTTATAATCGGGTGCCCCGACTATCAGATACCCGTTACTCAGGTGAAGGGAGTGCGAGGGAGATGGAGATAGAAACTTCGATCACGCATAACTTTTTAACGAATGGTCCGATTTGAAAAATTTCTTCTACATTTCGATAGGTATTGATAAACACAATAAAACTGCATTTTTACTTTTCCGAAATATTTAAATTTTTAAAATCGTATTTAAGCGATTGTGGGCGTTAAAGGGGGCGTGGCACCATTTTGAAACAAACTTGCGCTGCGTAGGAACTCCTCAAATCTACATGCAAAATGCCAATCTTCTAGCTTTTATAGTTTCCGAGATCTCAGCGTTCATACGGACAGACAGACAGACAGACGGACAGACAGACGGACAGACGGACAGACGGACATGGCTAGATCGACTCGGCTAGTGATCCTGATCAAGAATATATATACTTTATAGGGTCGGAAACGCTCCCTTCTAGCTGTTACATACTTTTGCACGAATACAATATACCCTTTTACTCTACGAGTAACGGGTATAAATATTGTTTTCCTGTGATGAAAAGTAAAGTCGATTTATTCGTAAATATCTATCTGCTGTGTATTGTCCATTCTGTGCAAAACAGTAATCATAACAGAAAGCTTCAAGCATACCTAAAACCCGGCTTCTGTTGATTTGATTCATATCGATTCCTTCCATAAATTCAAAAAGAAAGCGCTTGCTGGTAACTATAGAAGGATGTATCTAAGGAAGTGAAGTATTCGTTCCCAAAAGATTCACACGAGATCGTCTTCCACAAGGGAACGTCGGAGATCTCCCCCAAATCCGTGCTGGTCAGTGCCACTATTTTGCCCTAAGTAGTAGTAGTTGTATTTATGTGCGCAATTTAATGTTCTATTAAAGCTCAAAATATGATTCGAGATTTAAGTTCGTTTAAAACAACTTGAGAGTGGCTCAACAGAGACCGAAATTAAGTGCTTAAAACCCACTGATTAGGATTTATTTGTAACTTTGAAAAAACTATTGTTTTTTTTTATTTGTTTTAACAATTATGAGCGCAATTTATTTATTCATTTCCAGGGGTTTTACTTGTTCTCTGATAAGGCGATTCAAAACATCCGGGAAGTTGCACGCTTTAATTTGGGGCTCTCCAGAAGTGAGCAAATAAGTCTATTAATTAGTTTCTTTAAAGCGCTTGCTCTTAGTGGTTGCTTACTATTCAAATGTCCAAGCCTTCGATTTATTTTTTCTTGGCCTTCCTTTCATACAATTTGTATGGATCCTGGGCAGAAAGTCAGGACAATGGGCGATCCGTATGCCTGTTGAACGACCCGCCAAGCCAATGTGGAAAGTTTTGTCTTGAGGCACTGAAGCCAATGCTCAATCACATTGCTTTTCACCAGAAGGAGTGGAGCACTTGCAATCCCCAAAAACATAATGAAACACAGGAAAGACTTGTCAGAATCGAAGCCAAACTTGACAAGTTGCTGGACCAGGAGGAAGCTTCATCGACGAATGCAAATATTCTTGACTTACACACAAAATTGGAACGAATTGAAAACCTACTGGCAGGCCTGCAGGAAAATGTATCTAAAAGTGTCTCCAACGCTAGTATATCTCCTTTGTTCACGCGGATCGGGTCTAGATTAATTTACATCGAAAGAGAAATCCGAAAGTCCTGGGATGCTGCTGAAGAAACCTGCCGCGCGATGGGAGGTCACCTGGCAACTATTCAGAACGAATCGGATTTTACCGCCATCAACGATGAACTATGGTATGTTGAGACCTACTGGCTGGGCATTTCAGACGTGGTCAAGAAGGGGGAGTTTGTGTCCGTGGCCACTGGAAAACCAGCACCCTTCTTGAAGTGGAAATCACATCGACCATACAGTTTATTTAGCATAGATAACTGTGTGGACATTTACAAAGGCGAAATGTACGATACCGAATGTAGCACAAGTCAATTTTTTATCTGTGAGGCAATTGGATAAGTGAAATAAGTGAAGTTTGTCAATTATGCAAAAGGCCCATTCAACTATCTGATTCGGAACTGATACACCTAATGTATAAATAGTTTTTGAAATAGTTAAATAAGCTTTTGTGTTTTGGTAACTGCATTTCTTACTAATAAACAAGTGTTCATATTATATTATTGTCTTCTTGGCTATCTGAATTGGGGCTTAACCTGAGAAAAGTGAATGTATAACCCGTGTTTATAATATTCGAAGCACCTCCAAGTCGGACAGCACAGCAGCAGGCCTTAAAGCACGCCCATTGCTTCACTGCATTTGCTGGAGGAGGTCATGGTGGTCAGCAGGTCAACTGAGCGAGGCCTACGACAAATGAGGTGTGGAATGAATGGAATGTCTATAAAGATTCCTCTTCTAAACAGGTGACTATTCCAGCAGTGGAAGTGCTGGCTATGAAAGTCATCCCACGACTAAGGATCCTCCAACGGCTGTGGCTACGAACCAGGACCTGATTTTCTTACTGATAATCAAATGTCTATATTATACAAAATTACCAATATTAAATTATTAAGTTGTCTGTCATGGCAGACTAAATTGGGTTTAGCCAGAGAAAAGTGAATGCAGAGATGGGTTCTAATGTTCGAAGTACCTCCAAGTCAGACAACACAACTGAGCAACCGGGCGAGGCCCACGACAAGTGTCGTTTTTTTAGTGGAAGTGCTATGGAAGTCAGCCCTGTACCTAGCAGTTATTACAAAACGACTACATTTCGATTTCTATGACTATATAACTAAAAGCAATAAAAATGCAAGGCACACTGGCCAATCCATGGCTTTGTGTAGCCATGAATGAGTAAGGATCGAGTGAAACGATAATGTCAACCCCCATAGCTGCTCAACATAGATTAAAGTTAAGAATAAGAAGAAAATTGGTCAGGATATTCAAATTAATCGATTTTGAAGTCAAAATCAAACATTAAGCTTAGCGAAATATAAATCTGAGTATGTCAATCGAATTTTGGGTATTTTTAACCTTCTCGTGTGATATAAAAATCTAAGCCAATGGCTATTGTTAGTGGACTTTTCAAATCGATAGACTTTTTCCAGAAGCTAATCGTTTGTAGACAGCATCATGCAGAGCCTTTTAGCAGGCTGGTGGGTAAAAGTCCAAAGTCCTTCCAATCCTTAACATTGATATATGTTGAGGAGACCTGGGGGTGTACATTGACTTGTCATACGATCCTTACGCCTTCTCAAAGCCCTTAATCGGCCAGTGTGCCTTGCATTTTGCAACGGCGTGGGTTCTTTACCATGCTGCAAAGGGCTCCGATTGGTAAAAATGCATCCTGCTTATTAAATTTTAGTTTTTGGACACATGAGGTGTTGATTTTATTTTTACCTTGTAAAGTGCTAAACCATAAAATGAATCATTATACCATTTAGAGTATAGAGGGAAATGGGATTAATAAAAACAAAGTTTCCAAAATAGTTAATTAAAATCCAAGTGTGTAAATAACTTAGTTCAGAGACATTGTGTCCATTTTTTGGTTTTTTTTATTTTTAATTAGTTATTTATAAAAGATAAATTAATGAAGTCACTTGTATTTAACAGTAAATTAATATTTATATCTAAACAGATTTTATATTATTTAAATATCAGAGTATTAGATAAAGAAAAATAACCTTAAAGTTCAACATGCTTGCTGTGCCAGTTCGTCACTGTATCCATCTGAAAAAAACATATAATTTTACTAGTCCGTCAGTGAGATTTGAACGCAGTTCTCCCGCGTTCATCAGAGAACAACTTTTATTTGAAAAATATTATTTTAAAATATTTTCTAAAATAAGTCGTAACTGTGAAAGTTCTAATGTTTAAAATAAATTTTTTTATGTAATTTTTCATATGACAAAAAATATTTTAATTACTTTTTATTAAAAAGTTAAAATTTTAGTCATTGTAAACATGATTATTATACAAGTAAAAAAAAATAAAAATGTATGACCCGACAGCAGACGTTCTAACCACTAGGACAGGGGAAAGCTGATAACCCAAATATTTATATTTTTTAGAGTTATCAAATTTTTAGGGTTAGGTTTAGAATTTGTTTCTATTTTTTAGGGTAAGTTATATTTTAAGGCAGAATTCCTAATTTTAATAAAAAAATTCTAAGCAAGTACCATTTCTATTAAAATATAGAAATTCTTCAGGGATTTAGGACTTTTTTATTTTATAGCGACAATTTCTACATTTGAGAAACGCTATCTTGATTTAAAGGGGTATGGTATTAAAATTAGTTTTTTAAAATTTTTTTTCTGAATGCACAATATTTGAAGAATATTGAGTTAAAATTTTTATATTGATCCGAGTAAAACTTCCGAATTTAAAGGCAGTTGAACCTAGGTAAGTAACTCGTTTTGTATTCGATACGATTTAAAACCCTGTCCTGAAAAGTTGCCATTTTTAAAGTCGGTGAACACGATCCTGCACAATCTACTTCTGAACCTATCCGCAGGTACTGACGTCGAGTGTTTTTCTTTTAACTGATTATTTTTTATTTTCTAATAACTAATATATCGAATTTTTAGGCTAAAATCACGTTTTCGACTTCAAAATGTTACCTTATTTCCAAAAATTTAATGAAAACAAAAAACCTCAACCTTTGCAAACATCTTAACTAATAAGCTATTTTTTTTCTGATGATTCAGTAACGAGTTATACTGTTCACCGCCAAACCTTTTTTCTTGGAGTCGCCTACGGAGCTTGGCTGCGAACGGCTCATTTTTTTTTTTTTTTTGATAATAATTTTTTTGAGAACATAGTTTAAGTATTGTACTTTGGTATGCTTATAAAATAATTGCTCTGACATTAACCGTATCGTGTGACAAAATTCCTGAAAATAGGCCTTTTTTTGCCGAATACCATAAGAAACATTTGGAAGGGGATCGCCGCAGATCTTGTCAGCTGACCAGTGCCAACATGCTGGGCATCGCCGCTGCCCAATGTTAGTTGTATTTACAAATGTGCGCAATTAAATCTTTTATTAAAGCTCCAAATATGATTCGAGATCAAAGTTCGTTCAAAACAATTTGAGTGTGGCTCAACAGAGACTCAAAACAAGTGCTTTACATCCACTGATTAGGATTTGTTCTCTGATAAGGCACAACATCGGCGCAGTCAACAAACAAATCGAAATTCAGTTTTTTCAAAGCGTTTGCCCTTACCGGTTGCTTATTTTATAATGTTCAAGTCAACAATTTATTTTTTCTTGGCGTTCTTTTCATATAATCTGTATGGATCCATGGCAGAAAGCCATGACAATGGGCGATCCGTATGCCTATTGCACGACGCGCCAAATCAATGTGGAGACTTTTGTCTTGGGGCACTGAAGCCAATGCTCGATCACATTGCTTTTCACCAGAAGGAGTGGAGCACTTGCAATCCCCAAAAACATAATGAAACACAGGAAAGACTTGTCAGAATCGAAGCCAAACTTGACAAGTTACTGGACCAGAAGGAAGCTTCATCGACGAATGCAAATATTCTTGAGTTACAGACAAAACTGGATCGGATTGAAAACCTACTCGCAGGCCTGCATAAAAATGTATCTAAAAGTGTCTCCAACGCTGTTATATCTCCTTTGTTCATGCGGATCGGGTCTAGATTAATTTACGTCGAAAACGGAATTAAAAAGTCCTGGGACGGTGCTGAAGAGACCTGCCGCGAGATGGGAGGACATCTGGCAACTATTCAGAACGAATCTGACTTAATCGCCATCAGAGAAGAACTAAAGATCAATGGCGTCTACTGGCTGGGCATCACAGACGTGGCCAAGGAGGGAGAGTTTGTGTCCGTGGCCACTGGCCAACCAGCACCCTTCTTGAAGTGGGAATCAGATCAGCCAAACAATTTATTAGGCAAAGATAATTGTGTGGATATTTACCGCGGCGAAATGTACGATAGCGAATGTAGCAAAAGTCAACATTTTATCTGTGAGGCTGTTGGATAAGTGAAATAATTGAATTTGGTTATTTGTACAAAGGCTTTGCTACGCCTAATGTAAAAATAGTTTTTAAAAAAGTTAGATAAGCATTTTGTTTTGTTAACTGCATTTCTTACTAATAAACAAGTGCTCATATTATATTATTGTCTTCTTGGCTAACTGAGTTGGGGTTTAACCTGAGAAAAGTGAATTTGAAGACGGGTTCTAATAATATTCCAGGTCGGACAGCAACAGCAGCAGGCATTAATTTTTTTTTTATTCTTCTTAGTGGGGGTTCCCTCTTTTCTTTCCATATACTCCTATGGTGCCCCCCCCCGTTCTTCCCTCTTTTTTGGGGGGGGGGGGGGGCCCGCCGCCCCAAGTTTGTTTCTTTTAAAAATTTTATAGCTGCTTTTTAAAAGATAGGGTGGAGCTTATCTCGAGGTGAACTAGGCTGACATAATCCACCTGAAGAAGGACGAGCTGGTACGCAGCAAAAGAAGAACCGGGTGGAGGAGACTATACACCATGTTCCATGGACTGATGACGACATCGATCGTACCGGATCAGAAGAATCGCGATCCAGACTATTTGGCTGATATTATAATCCAGATAGCCTTGTCTGTTCATGCATGGATACGTGAGGTGGAGTTCGCAGCTGAATCACACGGCTTAAACGAGTCACATCGTTGGCTATTGGGTAATCGAATGCTGCAGTTCCTGTATGATTTAAGGAATTAAGACAGCGCCTTCAAAAAGTCTTTGGGTTCCCAATGTAGAACCATCTTGTTGCACAGCAAAGTCGCTCAATTGTTAAAGGGTAATCACTGCTTCAATATTTTATTGCTATGCGCAAGTTTTCTGAACAAGGAGCCCTCGAAGATACAGATACCGGATGCGCAGCTTCGTTGTATTACTGTGTTTCTCTTGATGATCTGTGTTTGAAAATAATGCTTTACAGACAGAACAGACGAGCGATCCAGAAGTGCGTTGCTTGCGGGGGAAATTGAAGAAAGGCGTGTCAGTACGGTTTGAGTGAATAGATGGAATAGTGTTTAGACCAAATGATAATGAGGAATTGTGTAGGCAAGACGAATTGATAAGGAAAACTCTCGAAAAGAGAGGTCCTTTGGCAAGAGATAAATGCGTTAGTAAGTTGAATGAAAAATATTGCTTTCCTGTGATGAAAAGTAAAGTCAATTTATTCATAAATAACTGTCTGCTGTGTATTTTCCAATCTGTGCAAAACAGTAATCATAACAGAAACCTTCAAGCACACCTAAAACCCGGCTTCTGTTGATTTCATTCATATCGATTCCTTCCATAAATTGGAAAAAAAAGCGCTTGCTGGTAACTATGGAAGTCTTCGTAAATTTGAAAAATTATATCCTATTGAATCTACCAGCTCTAAGAAAGTGAAGTATTCGTTCCCCAAAGATTCCCACCAGATCGTCTCCCACAAGGGAACGTCGGAGATCTCCCCCAAATCCGTGCTGGTCAGTGCCACTATTTTGCCCTAAGTAGTAGTAGTTGTATTTATGTGCGCAATTTAATGTTCTATTAAAGCTCAAAATATGATTCGAGATTTAAGTTCGTTCAAAACAACTTGAGAGTGGCTCAACAGAGACCGAAATTAAGTGCTTAAAACCCACTGATTAGGATTTATTTGTAACTTTGAAGAAACTATTTTATTTGTATTATCAATTATGAGCGCAATTTATTTATTCATTTCCAGGGGTTTTACTTGTTCTCTGATAAGGCGATACAAAACATCCGGGAAGTTGCACGCTTTTATTTGGGGCTCTCCAGAAATGAGCAAATAAGTCTATTAATTAGTTTCTTTAAAGCGCTTGCTCTTAGTGGTTGCTTACTATTCAAATGTCCAAGCCTTCGATTTTATTTTTCTTGGCCTTCCTTTTATACAATTTGTATGGATCCTGGGCAGAAAGTCAGGACAATGGGCGATCCGTATGCCTGTTGAACGACCCGCCAAACCAATGTGGAAAGTTTTGTCTTGGGGCACTGAAGCCAATGCTCGATCACATTGCTTTTCACCAGATGGAGTGGAGCACTTGCAATCCCCAAAAACATAATGAAACACAGGAAAGACTTGTCAGAATCGAAGCCAAACTCGACAAGTTGCTCAACCAGGAGGAAGCTTCATCGACGAATGCAAAAATCCTTGACTTACACACGAAACTGGAACGAATTGAAAACCTACTTGCAGGCCTGCAGGAAAATGTGTCTACAAGTGTCTCCAACGCTAGTATATCTGCTTTGTTCACGCGGATCGGGTCTAGGTTAATTTACATCGAAAAAGAAATCGAAAAGTCCTGGGACGCTGCTGAAGAAACCTGCCGCGAAATGGGAGGTCACCTGGCAACTATTCAGAACGAATCGGATTTTACCGCCATCAAAGATGAACTATCGCATCCTGAGAGCTATTGGCTAGGCATTTCAGACGTGGCCAAGGAGGGGGAGTATGTGTCCGTGGCCACTGGCAAACTTGCACCCTTTCTCAAGTGGGAAAAAAATCAACCAAACAATTTATTTGGAAAAGATAACTGTGTGGATATTTACCGCGGCGAAATGTACGATAGCGATTGTCGCACAAGTCAATTTTTTATCTGTGAGGCAATATGATAAGTGAAATAAGTGAAGTTTGTCAATTATACAAAAGGCCTATTCAACTATCTAATACGGAACTGATACACCTAATGTATAAATAGTTTTGAAAAAAGTTAAATAAGCTTTTGCGTTTTGGTAACTGCATTTCTTACTAATAAACAAGTGTTCATATTATATTATTGTCTTCTTGGCTAACTGAATTGGGGTTTAACCTGATAAAAGTGAATGTATAACCCGTGTTTATAATATTCGAAGCACCTCCAAGTCGGACAGCACAGCAGCAGGCCTTATAGCACGCCCATTGCTTCACTGCATCCGGCTGGAGGAGGTCATGGTGGTCAGCAGGTCAACTGAGCGAGGCCTTCGACAAATGAGGTGTGGGTGAGTCACGAGAAGACAGAAATGAATGGAATGTCTATAAAGACTTCTCTTCTAAACAGGTGGCTATTCCAGCAGTGGAAGTGCTGGCTATGAAAGTCATCCCTATACCTACGACTAAGGATCCTCCAACGGCTGTGGCTACGAACCAGGACCTGATTTTCTTACTGATAAACAAATGTCTATATTATACAAAATTACCAATATTGACTAAATTGTGGTTTAGCCTGAGAAAAGTGAATGTAGAGATGGGTTCTAATGTTCGAAGCACCTCGAAGTCAGACAACACAACTGAGCAACCGGGCGAGGCCCACGATTATCTTGATTTAAGGGGGTACGGTATTTAAATTAGTTTTTTTGCCTTTTTTATCATTTTTTTCTGAATGCACAACATTTGAAGAATATTGTGTTAATTGCGTTTAGATTGATCCGAGTAAAACTTCCGAATTTATTGGCAGTTGAACCTAGGTAAGTAGCTCATTTTGTATTCGATACGATTTAAAACGCTCTCCTGAAAAGTTTCCATTTTCAAAATCGGTGAACACCGTCCTGCAAAATCTACTGGACGAATCGTTTTGACTTTTGGCACACGATTTCTGAACCTATCCGCAGGTAGATTGATCCGAGTAAAACTTCCGAATTTATTGGCAGTTGAACCTAGGTAAGTAGCTCATATTGTATTCGATACGATTTAAAACGCTCTCCTGAAAAGTTGCCATTTTCAAAATCGGTGAACACCGTCCTGCAAAATCTACTGGACGAATCGTTTTGACTTTTGGCACACGATTTCTGAACCTATCCGCAGGTACTAACGTCGAGTGTTTTTATACCCTTGCAGAGGGTATTATAATTTTGGTCAAAAGTGTGCAACGCAGTGAAGGAGACATCTCCGACCCTATAAAGTATATATATTCTTGATCAGGATCACCTCCTGAGTTGATATAAGCATGTCCGTCTGTCCGTCTGTCCGTCTGTCCGTCTGTCCGTCTGTCTGTCCGTCTGTCTGTCCGTCTGTCTGTTTCTACGCGAACTAGTCTCTCAGTTTTAAAGATATCGAGTTGAAACTTTGCACACAGCCTTCTTTCCTTTGCACGCAGTATATAAGTCGGAACGGCCGGGATCGGCCGACTATATCCTATAGCTGCCATATAACTGATTGATCGGAAATGCCATAACTTTGGTGTTTGTAAAGTTAGGAAGTTGGAATTTTCTATGCGTTTTATATTTGGCCAATCAATCTGACCTACCAAATTTCATAAGGATCGGCCGACTATATCCTATAGCCGCCATATAGCTGATTGATCGGAAATGCCATAACTTTGGTGTTTGTAAATTTAGAAAGTTGGGATTTTCTATGGGTTTTATTTTTGGCCAATCAATCTGACCTACCAAATTTCATAAGGATCGGCCGACTATATCTTATAGCTGCCATATAACTGAACGATTGGAAATGTCATAACTTTGGTGTTTTTAAAGTTAGGAAGTTGGGACTTTTTATGAGTATTAAGAATGCATACTATGAATAATTTTGGAGAATATAATTTACAGAATATTCTGCAAGGGTATATCAACTTCGGCTCCGCCCGAAGTTAGCTTTCCTTTCTTGTTTTAACTGATTATTTTTAATTTTCTAATAACTTATATATCGAATTTTTAGGCTAAAATCACGTTTGCGACTTCAAAGTGTTACCCAGATTCCAAAAATTGAATACAAATAAAAAACCTTAACGTAGTTACCTTTGTAAACATCTTAACTAATAAGCCATTTTTTATACCCTTGCAGAGGGTATTATAATTTTGATCAAAAGTGTGCAACGCAGTGAAGGAGACATCTCCGACATCTCCGATCACCTCCTGAGTTGATATAGCCATGTCCCTCTGTCCGTCTGTCTGTCCGTCTGTTTGTTTCGAATTGAAACTTTGCACACACCCTTCTTTCCTTTGCACGCAGTATATATGTCGGAACGGCCCGGATCGGCCGACTATATCCTATAGCTGCCATATAACTGATTGATCGGATATGCCATACCTTTAGTGTTTGTAAAGTTAGGAAGCTGGGATTTCCTATGGGTTTTATATTTGGTCAATCAATCAGACCTACCAAATTTCAAAAGGATCGGCCGACTATATCCTATAGCTGCCATATAACTGATTGATCGGAAATGCCATAACTTTGGTGTTTGTAAAGTTAGAAAGTTGGGATTTTTGATGGGTTTTATTTTTGGCCAATTAATCCGTCCCACCAAATTTCATATGGATCAGCCTACTATATCCTATAGCTGCCATATAACTGAACGATTGGAAATGCCATAACTTTGGTGTTTTTAAAGTTAGGAAGTTGGGATTTTTTATGAGTATTAAGAATGCATCATATGAATAATTTTGGAGAATATAATTTACAGAGTATTCTGCAAGGGTATATCAACTTCGGGTCCGCCCGAAGTTAGCTTTCCTTTCTTGTTTTCTTTCTGATGATCCAGTAACGAGTTATACTGTTCACCGCCAAACAATTTTTCTTGAAGGCGCCTACCGAGCTTGGCTGTGAACGGCTCATTTATATTTATTCCATGAAAATTTGTGAGAACATAGTTTAAGTGTTGTACTTTGATACGCTTATAAAATAATTGATAATTGAGCCGTATCGTGTGACAAAATTCCTGAAAATAGGCCTTTTTTGTCCCAATTAACCATAAGAAACATTTGGAAGGGGATCGCCGCAGATCTCGTCAGCTGACCAGTGCCAACATGCTGGGCATCGCCGCTGCCGTTATCAATGCACTATGGTTTTTTTCGCGTTATTTTTGGCATAAAGTCAATTTTTTCTTTTGGATCTTTTTTTTTTGTATAAAAAAATATGTAACTTTAACATATGGAGCAACACTGTTCTGCTGACGAGCTGTTAAAGTCAGCTGATTATGTACCACCTGTTTTGTATGAAATTGGCGCGAAAAATTGTGCGACTTTGATTGTTTGTTGTGGAAAAAGTTTACGAAAAAGTTAAATGAATAAATATGGAAAACGATTGTCCAGGTATGTAAAATTAAAATAAGACAAGAGAGAACGCTATAGTTGGGTGCCCCGACTATCAGATACCCGTTACTCAGGGGAAGGGAGTGCGAGGGAGATGGAGATAGAAACTTTGATCACGCATAACTTTTTAATGAATGGTCCGATTTGAAAAATTCCTTCTACATTTCGATAGGTATTAATAAACACAATAAAACTGAATTTTTAGTTTTCCGAAATATTTAAATTTTTAAAATCGTATTTTAGCGATTGTGGGCGTTAAAGGGGGCGTGGCACCTTTTTGAAACAAACTTGCGCTGCGTAGGAACTCCTAGAATCTGCATGCAAAATGCTAATCTTCTAGCTTTTATAGTTTCCGAGATCTCAGCGTTCATACGGACGGACAGACAGACGGACAGACGGACATGGCTATATCGACTCGGCTAGTGACCCTGATCAAGAATATATATACTTTATAGGGTCGGAAACGCTTCCTTCTAGCTGTTACATACTTTTGCACGAATACAATATACCCTTTTACTTTACGAGTAACGGGTATAAATACCAATTTTTGTGTCGTTGTTATGTGTTTTTGCCCAATTGTACCGTGTTTAGTTTATGTGTATTTATATATGTATTTAGAACGAGCTTAACAAGTGTAGTTCTGTTTCGTGGATCAGTACTTTTGCATGGCAAAGTGTTGCAAAAAGTTGTAAACGAGAAACTATTAACCAAAGTGTGCAGATTAATGGGAAACTAACCCTTTTTGTCCGAATCCACACGTGTTCGAAAAAATCCAAATTTTCTAGTACAATATGTGTTCAGTCGTGCTGAGCTGGTTGACATTTCGAGCAACAACAATCGCTCAGGAGACGCCGTACAACAGCACATATTGAGAGTGATCGCACAAAAACATTTAGATAACGAAACCATAAAGTCGATTAAGGAAAAAGTGAAAGGCTTTGTCAGTTATTTAAATAAACACTTGCCTAAATGTAATTCAACTCTAGAAAGATTTAAGGGAAAGCGCGCAAAACTTGGTAGGTCATCCTGGGAGCTTAAAAAATGTATCCAAACCAAATTTCAATTTAATAGGTTTTAAATTAGAGTTTATGCCAAAAAAACGGAAAAAAACCATAGTGCAATGTTAGTTGTATTTATGTGCGCAATTTAATCTTTTATTAAAGCTCCAAATATGATTCGAGATCAAAGTTCGTTGAAAACAATTTGAGTGTGGCTCAACAGAGACTCAAAACAAGTGCTTTTCACTGATTAGGATTTGTTTTCTGATAAGGCACAACATCGGCGCAGTTCTTAGCTTTAATTTAGGGTTCTTCGAAAGTCAACAAATACCGGTTGCTTACTTTTAATATGTTCAAGTCATCGATTTATTTTTTCTTGGTGTTCCATGCCATGACAATGGGCGATCCGTATGCCTATTGAACGACCCGCCAAATCAATGTGGGGAGTTTTGTCTTGAGGCACTGAAGCCAATGCTCGATCACATTGCTTTTCACCAGAAGGAGTGGAGCACTTGCAATCCCCAAAAACATAATAAAACACAGGAAAGACTTGTCAGAATCGAAGCCAAACTTGACAAGTTGCTGGACCAGAAGGAAGCTTCATCGACGAATGCAAATATTCTTGAGTTTCAGACTAAACTGGATCGGATTGAAAACCTTCTGACAGGCCTGCATAATAATGTGTCTAAGCGAGTCTCCAACGCTGTTATATCTCCTTTGTTCACGCGGATCGGGTCTAGATTAATTTACGTCGAAAACGGAATTAAAAAGTCCTGGGACGGTGCTGAAGAGACCTGCCGCGAGATGGGAGGTCACCTGGCAACTATTCAGAACGAATCTGACTTAAACAGCATCGAAAAAGAACTAGAGCTCCATGGCGTCTACTGGCTGGGCATCACAGACGTGGCCAAGGAGGGGGAGTATGTGTCCGTGGCCACTGGCGAACCAGCACCCTTCTTGAAGTGGGAAGAAGATCAACCATTCACTTTATCACACCAATATAACTGTGTGGATATTTACAAGGGCGAAATGTACGATACCGACTGTAGCAGAAGTCAATATTTTATCTGTGAGGCTGTTGGATAAGTGAAATAAGTAAAGTTTTTTATTTATACAAAAGTCTCACTCAACCATGAAATACAACTTAAGTAAAAACAGTTTTTTAAAAAGTTAAATAAAATGTTGTGACTTGAGATATGCGAAGAAAAATGAACCAATTGTTAAATTATTATGTTGTTTTTCAGCATAAGAGGCACTTATAAATAAATCTATTATATTGTCCATTTTCTTGTTTCATGGCTAACTGAGTTGGGTTTTAAGCTGAGAAAAGCGAAGACGGGTTCTAATGTTCGTTGCACCTCGGAATTGGACAGCACAGCAGCTGGCTTTATATCAAAGCCCATTAGTTCAATGCTTCCGGAAATGAATCCACTGAATAAGAGGGTCTGAACTGAGTATTAATCTATTAATAAGGTTAGTATTTGTTCAAGACCGCTAAATTGTTCGGGTATGGTATACCTTTTTGAATCTTTATTTTGGCTCTTGTGGCTTCCTTTGACATTGGTTCCCTAAGCCATTTCCTATTGTCCGTTAGAGGATTGGAATCCGGGACCCCAGCCGCATTAGTGAACTTGCTGGCATGCCGGCGGCACATTCCACACTTGCAGGGAACTCATTAGGCACCTGACCAAATGCAAAACCTCCACTCCACCCAGACGCTAAAATTCAGTAAGCCCCGGGGCTGGCAGCACTTCCCACCATAAATGTCAGCCGCAAAATATGAACTGGCAAGTGTGGAGCGGACCGTCCTGTACGCATCATAAACTGCGGCAATAACGACAAACGATGGAATATATCAACTAATCCTCCGAACTGCACTTTGTTAAGAAAACAGGGTAACAATAACAGAGGCACACCCAAAAATGCAATGAAAATATTTTGACAGAGACCGACGAACGCACACAGGGTGACAAACTGGAGAAGGAGCCTTTGATGTCCAGGGGTTTTTCGGCCTTCGATCAAATGTTCGAGCCAATTAGCAGCACGCCTTGAGAAACACACAGGTGGTGGTGGTCCTGGATTCCCATTTTATCCACTAACCAAATTAGAGACAATTAAAGTGAGAGTTCACGATTGTCGGGATACGATAAGAGCCCCATGCGTGACTGCGGAAAATTATTTGCATAATTTGACAGTTCATCTTTTGATTGGCCTGCGGCGGAAAAACCACAAACAGCAGTCTGGATAAAAATATTCATTTATTTGAAAACATAAAAATTAATGCGAAAATGTTGTACGCACAAGCCAGGCGACATTAAAACTACATAAATTCAATTAAATGTGACAAACGAACGAAAACGAAAAAAAAATGCACACACGAAATGAGAAGAAAACCAAAAATAAAAAATAAAAAGAAATGGAAACGTTGGCGGGTTAAATTACTAAAAATGTAATAAAATGTTTGCTGTTAATAATTAAGTAGAGCTCTCGTTTTGGTGGCAGTTTGACGATGACACATGGCGAGACGACGACAGGTCTGCATGTCAAATTAATACAAAGAGAAATTACATTTTTTCACAATCGTGTTTTTTATTGAGGGAACAAAATATAATTACCGCAACCTTAAGTATGTTTCATTGATTTATTCAGACAGGCTAAGGTTTTAAAGAAAACAAAGCTTATGAATTTTTCTCGTCTGCACTAAACTTTTTAAGTCCATATGTATATTGAACCTTTTTACTCTTTGGTATAGATATTTACGTCCCTAGTAACTAAGATCTTGCTACTGGTATTAAAAAAATACTCAACTTTAATAGAACTACTCATAAATTGTAGCTTAAAATTTACCAACCCGAAACCAAGTAGCTGACTGATCCAGAAGCATAACCAATTCACAAGGATACATTTCGGTGTACAGCCAACATGCCCACGGGGAAATGCTCAACAGCTCAGACCATGGAAACGCTTACTTTGTATAGGGCAAAACGAGTCATAAATAGTTAATTACACAACATTTCATAAATCACACAAAGTGACAAAGCAGCAGTCAACAGCCGGGACTCAATGACTCCTTGCTGACAGAAAAGGACTCCCCACTTAACCCATTCCAGCCCACTCCTCTGACGGACTAAACTTCCAAAAGGCAAATCAAATTAAGCGGCAAATAACTTGCAAGAGCACATACGACTCGAGTTAATACACTGAAGAAACTGTATTGTTTACTAATAACTAGTTTCAATAAATTCAATTAAATTATAATAAAATAAATTTATTTAGGAGGAAAAATATTTATATGACTTGTATTTAATTTTTTATTTTTTAATTTGTTCCAACTTGATTGAAATCATTAAAATTTTACATTATTTGTTTATAAACATTTTTAAGCAGGAACATTAAGATAATTTAAATTCCGGGCCAAAACTTTCGAACTTTCGCATTTTTCCGCATTTGTTTTCCTTAGTACATTTTTTTTGTTGAGTGCATTTTTCGAAAGACAGACAGACAACCATCGAACTATCAACTCGACTTGGTTTATGAATAGTTTAAGATGACGAAGGACTCAGAGATGGGAACACAAAATTTAGTTGAGCTGTGGCTCATTCGCATGCCGCCTGCGGTTGCACTTAATTTAATTGGGAAATTTTAAAACCACGTCACTTAAGTGAAAGCCAGACCAACAGAAACAGCATGCCTTGTAAATGGATTAATGTTTACTTTTGTTTCTATGCAAAAGTTACAGGAAATTGCAATTTTTCTACCCAAAATCCAAAAAAAGGAAGGGAACGGCGGACAACAAGTCAACAGATTGGACTCGGCAACCTCTTTTTTGCCTCGGGTTAATTGACTGCACGAAGGGAAAAGATACGGAAAACGGGGGTTAAGGCAGGAAAGTTGGACATTAAGGGAAATGAATCCTTTTTGGGCCACAGTTATGTATAGCTTATCGAGGGCTTGAACTAATGAAAAAGTTGAAAGGCTAAAAGGGCATGGTTATTAAAATACCCAGCACTTGTTTTACTACTTAACGAAAATTCAATTAATTTAATTAAGAAATAAGAAAATAATACAAATAAAATATAATTTTAAATTATTATTATGTTTTTTAACTAAGATTAGTTTGTATATAATATTATTCAATAATAAATGTAGAAAATAAAAAGATACGAAACTTTTTGTGACTGAAATATCATTTTAATACATATAAATAATTTACTAAAAGTAATAAATGATTTTATTTTTGAACCTATTCTAACTGAATAATATAATCATTATAATAATTTAACATTTTGTAATGACTAAAAAAAAAAAACCTTTTTGCAATCCATTGCATAATATTCGTCTTTTCATCATACCCCAAAATCTTTTTGGTTTCCAAGAGCAAAGCGTCCAGTAGGCAAATAGTACGCAATGAAAGACAAACAAATGTGTTCATGTGTGGGATATGGATATGGATATGAAAGCCTCTTCAGAGATAGAAAAATAAATGGGAGAAGGAGGAACTCCAGATAAATATTATTAATTAAGTGTCTGGGCAGACTGTAAGCTGCAGAAGAGTGTTGTAATCATCGGCTAACAACGCACCCATTGATTTTATCAACGTCAAGTGAGCGGAATCCCCAGCTCGATTCAATTCAATGAAGTGTTGAACTCTGTCCAGGATCCAAAGTACCTCCACCAAAAACACAAGCCATCCAATGCCCAACCCCAAAACCCCAAGTTCAACTTATAAATAAACGTTTAAATCCTCATGAATGCTTACAGTTGGCTTTATGTTAACTGGGGGCGAAAGTTTTGCGCTTTTGTTTTTGGCCAAATTTCTTTTTCGCTCTTTCCCGGAGTTGGGTCGTAAGTTTTTAGTGTTATTGCCCCCATGGACAACTAGCGAGGCGGATTTGGTTTCGGTTTCGGAATCGGATCCGTTCCAAGTGCGTTGTAATAGTTGTTGCCACTTCATCTGGCTTATCCCCAGTCCTCGGTTCGTCATCTTCCTTTTGTCTTGCGTAATTATCATTTGAACGCATTTGCCTTAAGTGTCCTTTTTGACATGTTTATAAGATGAGTGCCCGGCCATCCTGTATATGTTTATTTTCGATTGGCATCTTGCAAGAGGTTTCCCGATGCTGATGACGATGATGCGTCCTGATGAGTGCCCCGAATATTTTTGCCATACTGTTATGGCCCGAGCACTTTGGCAGATCTCTGATAGGATTGAATGGAGCAGCACGAAAAGTTAATGAGTCGGGGAAATCATCGAAGGAAAATAACATATTCCAGGATGAGGATTGAATATTGAGACATCTTTAACAGAGAAAAAAGTTAAGGAAAACATATTGTGGACAATATCTAAGTTAATTACTTGCCTACATCTTGAAAGCTAAACTACATTATTTCTACCGGTCAACGTCTTTTAAGTTAATAATCTCATGGATGAAATATATTAAATAAAAGAAAGTAAATATTTTACTATTTATTATTATTTTACATTATATCGGTCAACGACTTTTAAGTTAATAATCTCTGCGATGGTATATTTAATAGTATATATATATACATTTTTTAGTTAATAGCTTAATTAATCACTATATAACTTAATTTGTCTTTCTTTATTAACAGAATCAAATATGACTCAAGGATTTTTGTTGGGTAAAATTATTCGTATTGCTCGTGGATATTAAAAAAATACTATATAAGTCTTAATCCATGCTGGGAAGTTTCTTAATTTTTAAAAATATAAGGACATAATATTTGTTAATAGAAGCTCACAATTTAATTTTTCAACTAAGGTAAGCTAATTTTTAGTCCTTGACCCTTTACACAAAATAAGTTTCAGCCTTGTATCTTAAGTTTGTTTAATTTTGACAAGTTGCCAAATCCCTTATTGCATTTTTCGAAATACAAATCGAACCTCAATAAAACTGCAGGGTAAGAACAATTTTCTTTAATTTTTTCCGCTCAATTTCTCCAGCGAGAAACCTGCAAACTTTTTCGAGACGCAAAAAAGAAGAGAAACAAAAGAATTTAATTTCCACTGTCCAGTAGTGAGGTCCAGTGGTCAGCTCGTCATCCACGGAGTTAATCTCCTGGACTGAGAAAATGGGCAGGGTTCTGGGCATAAAATATCCTTGTTTATGATCTGGTTTAGACGATTTTATTGAACAACTTCCCTGCATATAAATCTGCAGATTAGCGGCTGGCAAACAAAGAGACGCAACGGAGATGAGTCGACTGTGCGTTTGTTTGGGGTGAGAAG